GGGGGGGGGGGGGGGGGGGTTGGCCGTAAGTAAAGCAGCTTTTTGCACGACAAATGAAGTAATAGACCAACGGATAAGTATACAGCCAATAACGTCTCGTTTTATTTGTTTCACTTCGGGTTCAATGCCAGACTCTTTGTCCAGCCCAGAACGAGGAAGACTTCAGCTGTGATGTCACTGTGTGGCAAATGGGACTGGTGTGTGAGGCTGGAAAATGGAAACAGTGAACTGAACCAGTTGGTGACTGCATGTGTGTGTTTGTATTTCTAATCTGCATACAAACAACAGCAGATGTTGCATTGAGCAGCTCAGTGCATTTCTTCTGTTGTTCTTACCTCATATTTGCCAATATACATGTTCATTAGGTTACTGATTCAGGAGGAAATGACATTTTTAGCTCCTTTAATCTGATGTTTGGTCCATTTGGGGGATGAATTTGGATCAGATATTAATGAGAATAATGCAAATGGTTCCTTACTAACAGGCAGGTCACTTCTCTGTCCCCAACCAGTTTATTTTCAACCCACTATTTCATTTATTTATTTATTGTTGCTGCATTTTCTGGTGTCACTGTAATTTGTGTGGGCTCAACCTGGCTGCACAGGGCTACAATATCCCCATCACTTTCCCACCTTGTTTTCTGTTAGTAAAACCCTATGCATTCATGTTTAATTACACATTCCAGACCCTTCATATTGTTTCAGGTGTTATATTTGTACTAAGAACCCCTTTTTGTGTGTGTTTGTAGGAAATATTGTGGAGACCAATGTCACTGAGCCAGACAGCACAGCCAATGTAACCTCCCTGCTTAGCGAGGAAGAGGGGCTTTTCAAGGTCAGTGAAGTCACTGCTGCAGTGACTGGAATGAGCAGCTCGGTCAGTCCCAGCATGACCAACACTGCGACCCCAAAGGCAGACCAGATCCCCCTCCCTGGCGAGGTGGAGGAGCAGAGCAGCGGCATGTTTGGTGAAACGGTGGCTCCTATGGTGGAGGATGTGGCCGTGGTAGTCTCGCCTCAGCTGAGCCCCGATTCAGCTGAGACAGAACACCTGCTGCCTAGCGACACACATGACCAGGATGTTACGAAGGGTGAGGAGGAAGAGGAGGAGGAGGAGCACCTGCCACACACTGACCTGCCTTGGAACCATGCTAAGAACACAGCCATGTTTGACCTGGACAACCCTTTCACCACCACTGTCCCGCCTTCTCCTGCCACCAATCCCTCTAACTCCGAAGTCCTCCGTGTAGACTTCTTCGACCCCTTCTCTCGTGGGCGCAACCTGGACCTAGCCCTGCCCTCTCCTTCATTACATGAACTTCAGGGTGGCGAGCCAACCTCCTGGGCAATGCCAGACAACCATAAATACACCACACCCTATGGGGACAGCGTGTCCCTCACTGCTGATGAGTACATCTACAGCACCACGACTGACACCTATGAGCGTGACGAAGACCTCCGGCTGCCTGCGGAGTCTCCATCTCACTCCAGGCCTCAGATCCCAGGATCTGGCTCCTTCAACTCAGGGGTGGCACGTCCTGGTTTGGGAGCTCCAGTACCAAACATCCCTGCGGAGGCTCCTCTAGGGTCCTCATCAGTGAACGGGTCAGATGGTTTGGGCGGATGCCGTGTGGGCTACCAGATGGTGAACGGAAGTTGCCGCTCACCTTGTGACATGCTGCCCAACTACTGCTTCAACGGGGGACAGTGTTACCTGCTAGAGAGCATGGGAGTCTTCTGCAGGTGGGAAACAACCTACACAAACACATTCACTCTGGGACACACACATATACAGCATAGCACTCTGTATACATAGAACAAGCCACTAACACTCAGTAATATACAGACCATAACTTTGCAAATCCCTCAAGTTGCACTTAACTTTTGCACCCATGTCAAAAATCCCATCATTCGTCACAACTCAGAAGTGTGGAACTCATCTTAGTGAAACAAAACAAACCACACAATCAGTGCTATCACAGTGCAGTTATCACAATCATCAAATGTAATCATTTTGTTTAGTACCAAAGTAAACTGGGCGACTGCTATCTGAACATCCATGGCTCACCTTATCATGACCCGGCTCAAAGGCTATGACAATCAAGGAGACGCAGACTACAAATGAACAAACTAGTAATTTATTTTTAACACAAACTCAAATAAAAAAACTTACAAAGGAACAATAACAATGTGCTACGTAATCAGTCTCACCAGTGATGCATAGCAAGTGTATGGGTGAGTGAAAAGTAAGTGTTAAGCAGTGTTGGATGAGAAAATAAAATACAGTGTGCAGGGCAAAATTGAAGAGCGGAGGAGGAGTGGAGATTTAAATAGCAGAGGAGATCACCGGGCATCCAACTGTGCTGGATTGTCTCCACCTACCTGTCAAACCACAAAAGAGAAAGAGAGACACGCTAGAAGCCGTCACAGCAGCCGGCTTCAGCATTGTTTCTGGTGGTGCAGACTCACAGACATGTAAAGATAAATAAATATACAGCAGACTGTAGCTGAGTTAACTCAGCCTAATGGCAACAATATAATTCCTGCTTTCATTGCCCATTGCAGGATGGAAACCTTATGACCAAAACCCAGAATAGATTCATACCACATGGAAATAAAAAGGACACAAAATCATATTATTCTTGCTGAAATATTTTCATTTTACAAAGCATTCAAAGCAGTGTGACGTGTGTAAGGCTTCATTAGGATTCCTCATTTGCATATTTAACCAACTATAAATATATAGATGTACAGAAAGAGGATTTATAAAACACCTGATTTAGTTTGTTGCTCTCTGGTCAGGAACATCTGGAAAAGCCCAGTTTAGAATAGAAACCAGCATCTTATTGTTAACAAGAGACTTTTATGGGGAAATGTTCCTTTATCTGTCTTCTGAGATGTGATTTTGCTCTGTGAGAGCTGGAGACATGTAAACTGTACACAGACATACACAAACACATTTAAGCAAAAACATGAACAAAAAAAAAACTGAAATGCACACACTGAAATGCAGATTATTATTTGCACATCTCACATTTCTATAGACACCAGTGTGTCCCATGAAAACTGCCTTCCAGGTTTTGGGCACAAATTGCAATAATGACTTTCCTCAGTATTCAATACAATAGGGTTGCCATGGTGATGAATCTAGGTGGAGGTCAAAAGTCAAATGGATTAAGAGAATCATTTATGACAATATGGTGGAAGCCACACAACAGTTTCTGCCCCATATGTGTCCTGAAAGTCAGCAATCACAGCGTGGATCAAAGCACCCAGAAAAAAAAAATCACTGCATCAGCAATCAGGGTTCAGAGCTGCTGTGGATGGGGGAGGGGAATGTATGACCAATGTCTTGTCTGATTTCTAACACTGTAATATTGTGTAAGAGGTGTTCATCATATACAGTGCTGTACAGTATAATGAATGAAATGTGAATGTATCTATATCGATCCTGTGTGTGAGATCTGCAGTAAGAATCATATCATTGCTCCCTGTTTATCTTTCTTTCCCCCTAAACATTTTCCTAATGGTCAAATCCAGCTTAATCCAGTTAAATTTGGTTAATGTTTGGTCACACCAGGAAGTGGCACAGTGAAATTCTACCCTTGTGTTCTCACTAAATATCCAGGACAGGATATTTAGTAATATAGTGACTCCTTGCAGGACCAGTGAATGACCAAAGCTGGCAAGCTAACAGCTAAGATACAAGCTTGGGAACATGCTGGGGCTAACCTGTTCCAGTAGCTCTGCAGCCTGCTTTATTTTTCATTTGAACTGATTTATGGTTCTGTGTTAAATCTACACAGAGCCTAAGCCATAGGCTACTTAAGTGGCCTAAGCCATTGTGAGCATTTATACGTGTGTGCTGGTGTGTCTGTGTTGCCCTGCAATTACACCGCCAAAATAATAGTTGGCGGTGGGTTTTCTATGCCACTGTGTTGCGTTTCTTGGCCACTTGCTAACAATGGTGATTGAAACTAAGTGGGTCATTTTGAAGTTAAAACAAACAGATGTTGAACATCAGTTACTGAAATTACTGGAACACAAATAAGAGAGATGATGTTGGAGGAGATGGTCTGTATGACCATTGAACCAAATGAGGCAGAAAGAGGGGGGTTTTCCTTGCTTGTCCAGCTGTCCGACCACTGAGAGACATGAAGGAGGAAATGTGATGCAACCAATCGCAGTTGTTTTTGTCTGCGTCGCTGCAACGTGCAGTTACATTTCTGGAGTGGTGCACATCAGGCTACTGCGCAGGGGATGAGACTACATGTTACCTACCACTGTAGGTGCAGGCACAAAACCATAAATCAAGCATAACTCTTACCCTAACCTTAACCAAAGCCAACACTTGCTCTAACCTTACACCCCTTTATTTTCATAAAATTTGATGAATAAGTCGTGGGGCCCAGCCTTCAGTCCCCATAAGTGACTTCTGGTCCCCGCAAAGCAGTGTGCTCCCAGTGTTCTGTCCCCACAAGTATATATAAACAAGCTTCTGTCTGAGTGCGCACAGAACAATCACATAGCCAAGTTTGAGAGCACAGTCAGATCACTCATTGATAAACTTCTTTGTGCAGCCGCCATTTTATACTGATGGTCAACATCTATTCAGGCAATAATCCATAACAGAAAACAGTTTAAACACGCACAATAGCCTTGGTTGAGGGAAAATGGCTGCACAAATGTTTTTGAACCATGTAAGATTTGAAGCTGATTCTTGTGTATGTGCTGTCACTCATATAATCATAGGCTTCCCATTTCCAGATTGCAGAAATTTCACATACTTTCCCCTACAACCACAAAATGAACCAGCCAATCAGTAAGGAGAGACTCCAATTAGAGAACAGCTGCACCAATTAAAATGCAAATGTATGCACGGTGGCGATCAGCCTCCTGAATGGAGCTGATGAAGAAAATATTAGTGACTCAACCTGACAACTATGAGATATAAGTATAATTAGCATAAACAAGTAGGATAATTGCAGAGACATCTAGGTGGTAGGTGGCAAACAGCTAAACAACACTGCAGTATCAGTCACCCCAGAGAGAGGCTGAGTGAAATTCATCTGTGCATCTTTGTGAAATTTGGTATTGGTGACATAGAAACTACTCACAGGGCCAGTTGGTGAAGGTAAACGCTAACTCATCACCAGTCAGAAACATGCTCGCGCTGCTCAGTCACGCCCACAAACTTGTGGCTTTGCTGACTGTGAAGAACTCAGGAGAGCTAAGCCTCACCTGGCTCCCCTGGAATTCAAATGCAGCATATATACCACTTAACTCTTAACCATTAGAAATATTTTGTCATAAAAGTCTTCCCAGTCATATCACATCAACAGAGATTACAAGTGTTATTGACTGGGAGGGAAATGGAGCGCTGCTCACACAGCAATGCTGAAACACTCTTGCTAAGCAGACAACATGATCCACATATTTGGGGCAGATTTTGGACCTCAGTCAGCAAATCATAGCAGTGATGAACCTCCAGAGGGTGAGTCAGACTGGGGCTGGAGAGACTGTGCTGAGAGGCGCAATATGGGTCAATGGAGTGCTGGCACAGATGAGAACCAATGTGTTCCTCTGTCCCTGTGACCCTGCTCAGGGACCAAACGGTAGAAAATGAATGAATGAATGTTCCTCTGTATGTGTGTGGGTGTGATTGTGTGTCTGATTACACTTGTGACTGAATGTGTGTGTGTGTGTGTGTGTGTGTACATGTGAAACTGAGTTTGTGTGTGTCTTTTTGTGTGTGCAGCTGAACCGAAGCCGCCTCATATATCAGGCCAATTCAATTACAGCAGGATGAATGTTTGGACCTCTGGCTCTCTGTAGTAAAACGCACGACCTTCTGAGAATTTCTTTACTGACCTCAGACCAGCCGGTCGTATCTCTTTGTGAGCACATACCTGCTAGGGTGCTTACCTTTCTAAATGTAACTGATCAGAGGTCACTGATTACTGCCTCAGCTACAGTAGGTATCATTTCATTTTATTCCCCATATCTGCACTAAAACAGAACATTTAAACAGTAGTGGTGCTTAAACTGTACCCAAATGAATTATTTTTGTAACGCATAATCACAGCGACATAAAATTTTAACTAATTAATTTAAATATTATTAACACATTTACTAGATAATTTGACATGACAATAAAAACAATCAAAAACAAAGAAATTACCAGTTGCTCTGCTCTGGAAAATATACATCCACCTGTGCACAAATTCATGATGAGGGTCACATACCAGTGTCTGTTTAATGAGACACGCCATTTATTTTTAATATTGTGGGTTGGAATCAGGTTGTGGCAGCAGGTGTATAATGACTTTTGTCATTTTACAGAAGACATAATTTAACTGTGTCTTAGTAGACTACACTATTAATTCCCCAGCATCATTGCACATCAGCTCTTTTGAAAAGCATCAGTTTGATCACATTCACTCCCTACACTGAGGTGATCACTATTTATTTGTTTAATTTACAGCTGGTTGTACTGAGATCTCAACCATTAATTCGGCCACAATAAACTACTGTTTAAAACAAGACATTATAGCTAATTAAACACATAAACTGATCAATCCATAACTTCTTGTTGCTCTTTAATCAGAGCAGACTCAGTTAATCTTATTCCTTCTCAGGTTGCTGCCAGGTGGAAATTGATAATTGATATTAGCATGCATATTTCCAAATTTCACCGTTTAAGCACAGAGCATATCTTCTGCTATACCAAACATAGTTGTTTC